TTACCAAATACTTTGTCAAGCCTGCTACACTCTATCTGCACCATGTTGTTTGTTCGACCATGTGTAATACTCCCCTGTCCAAGGTAGTTCACTCAGTGATAGTAAAGTCACGCAATCAGCAAATTCCTGAATTTCTATATAGCTAATAGGATTACCCAAAAGTCTGTCATTAGGATACAATACATCATTAAAATCACCACATAGCAACCAAGGTTTGGTGATTCTTATTGTTAACTCCTTTACAGTTTCCCATAGTTGTTTCCTTTGTTCCAGAGTATTATATCCATAAATAGTTGTAATTTCACAGTCCATCACACGCAGCCTATCCTGTACTAGACAATGTATAAGTTGAGCTTATGTTCTCAACAATGTAACAATATACCATTGAGGATCCCATGTGAGCCACAATTTTCCATTTGGTGCATGTTGATAGTTTGTAAAAGGGTTCCACCCTGGGATTACATTCAGCATCACATTGCTTGTATTATATTTTTTGACTCTAGTTTCAACTATACTAGCTAACTTTATTTTCTGGCTACTAATATACTTCTTTAACTCTTTTTATTTGTATCTTTTATTTATACCTCTAATATTGCAGAAGAGACACTTCATTAGCAAGTCATATGACCCCTACCCTTATCAGGTGGTAGGGTGTTTACAACCAAACTTCTACCTTGCAATGGCTCAAAGGTATTTTTCACTGATATAGCTGATAGTGTTGGAAAATGTACCATATTCAGTTCAGGCATAGCTTCTGCAGTTTTACCCTTATCTACTGTTGCTTCCAAATTGTCCTTGTATTATTGTATAGGAGTTTGAAAATTGCCTTGCTTCTCTTGTGTATGAGCTCCAACAGTTATCTTCATATTTTCTCTGCCCTGTGGACCTTCTTTGCTCTGTTGAGGAAGAATGCCCTATGTCTGTTGCTGAGCTTGGTCCCCTGGTTGATTGGCATGATTGTCTCCTACATTCAATGGGCCTTTGGATCTCCACTCCATTGTTACCTTCTTAGGTTCTCTTCTCCTTACAAATTGCTTCACTTGCTGGTTGTTTGGTCGTTTCTCTATGCCATACATGTGCCCCACCACTAGACATTTCTGGCAATACTCAGATTTTCAGTCATATCTGACTAGTTGTTTAAATTGCCTGCCATTGGGATCCATAACTACTAACTGCAAAGGAAACTCATTAGTGATATTTACTTATTTTATCATCCGCGCAAAAGACACTCTAATTTTCTTTGCTGTACACTCATCTGCATAGATAGGAGTCCCAATTGCACTAGCCATTCTGCTTAAAGAATCATCACCCCAACAGTTCATAGGCAACTTAGGGAATTAGACCCACAAGGAAATTTCAGTAGGAAACTCCTCATTGAAATCAATGTCTGGTGTCCAAGGCTTTAAGATAATAGGTCTATTGTTGACCGTATATGACCCAGAGCAATAGACTTCATGCATGTCTACTTCAGTCTGAAATTTAATGATATAATAGCCCTCCTCATGTAGGTATAACTCAGGCTCAGCAAGATTTGTCCAATTCATACCAATATACCTCTTCATAGTGTTGTAACCAGGCACTTCCCCAATGATATAATCTATCACTGCACATCTCCATTTCTCCATCTCTAGATCAATTTCAGCTTTGTCTAATTGCACTACAATTTGGCCATCAATAATTTGTGGAGGTATGTAAGACAACGACATACCATTCTCAACTGCTATGTTCCACTGAAAGAGATTTGTCCAAGGTTTAGGATCCGCAGCTACTGACCCATCGAGCTTAGTAGTCTCCATAATCACTGTTCCATTAGCAACATGCACATGATTCACTGTTTAATTGCCAGTAATTAGTGCTCCCTTACTTGCATGTTGGATCTGGTTCTCTTCAGGGTTGTTGACTCCAGTTTCAATTGGAGGAGTGTTCAGATCTAGCCTTTTTTTTTTAACACTAGAGCTTGTCAATGAGGATCCCGCTTCACAAATCGTCATCACCATTGCAATTTCAATTTCCTGCACTAACTGTTTGTGAGAAGGTGTGCCTACTAATTGATCCTTATCATTTTCATCAGCTTGTATTAGAGCATCCACAAAGCTACCAAAGATAGTTATGGGGTTCTTCTTGGGCCTACCATGCCCTCGTCCCTGTCCCCGTCCTCTACCGTTCGCCATGGATGAGCACAGTCATCGCACGTTAACTATCATGTGCCGAGAGCATGAGCGAAGAGAGATGCAGAGCAAAACGAACACACATTAGATGTTTGTTTGTCCACTCGTCACATTTCATATTACATTATTTTAATCTTTCATTTTAAGCATATTCCTTGTAAATACAAAATGAATTTCAGATACCACATGTATAGACAAGTGTACATTAACTAGTAAAAGGAGACATCGTGTCAAGACAATACATCTTAATCACTTACCAGATAACACATGCATATTCTGAAAATAGTTATTTAGAGTAATTAATACTAAAACAGTACTCTTTCTATTTTAATTTAGATGATATATTTTTCTTATTGAGAGTCAATCTATATGAACTTTGAACAATATTTTAAAAAATATTTTTTTTATTGACATGAGAAAAATTGCAACTTATAGTACTTTTTGTATAGTTTTTGAATATCAAAATTTTAATTTTAAAATACTGAGTTGACTAATCCAATTTAGCTCAAATATTTAGTCCAATTGACTCTCGATAATCGAAATATGTCATCTAATTTGAAACAGAGGGAGCAATATATGTAATTTTTTTTACTCGAAAAAGTAAAAAGGAAATGAAAATAAGGGTAGAGCGGACTGAAAACTATTAGCCACCGTTTGGCCATAGATTTTGTCAAATTTTTCCCAAAATATGTTTGGCAAAACATGTTTGTTTATAGATTTTATCCATGTTTTGGCAGATTTTGAAAAACAAAATTTCCAACTCCTAAAACTAGCTCTAGATATGTTTTTGGCCCAAAATATCACTGTTTGATTTTTTAACAATTTCAAAGATTACCACAAATTTTTATATTTTATTAAAAAAATCCACCATCATTATGACTCAACTAACCACCAGCTAATTACTATTATTTTTTTTGACTGATGGATCTTGTAATATTACTGCAATTTGACGAATTATAGTGGCTAGTAATTGTGTTATTAGCAGTTGATATTAAAATATCAGGTTATGGTTTTAATATATTGTATTATGTAGTTCATTATAAAAATGATAATTTTATGCCAAACTTATCTATGTCCGGGACTATGGTTTGTGATAATGATATTGAATGGCATCGATGAAGGTTCTGCATATACAAGATTAGCAAGTTTGTTTATTTAGTATTGTTGGGTATTTTTGATAGTTTTTGGAACTTATGGGTATAAATCATACTTCATGCTTTTAAAAAAAAAGTGAATTATATTTTAAAAAATTATGTCCAAACAAATTTTCATCTTCAAATCAAACTTCACCCAAATTAAATTTTTTAAAACAAATTTGAGAACTTATGGCGAAATGCTAGCTAAGAAATTGTGTCGTGTAATAAATTGACAAATTACTTCCTCCATCGCAAAATGAATATCAACAATTCATGCCAAATAGTGGACTGTGACAAGAGGGGTTACTCTGATGGTAAGCAACTGCCACTTCCAACCAAGAGGTTATAAGTTCGAGTCACCCCAAGAGCAAGGTGGGGAGTTCTTGGAGGGGAAGGATGCCGAGAGTCTATTGGAAACAACCTCTCTACCTCTTGGTAGGGGTAAGGTCTGCGTACATACTACCCCACTAGTGGGATTATATTGAGTTGTTGTTGTTGTTGTGTACATACTACCCCTACTAGTGGGATTATATTGAGTTGTTGTTGTTGTATGCCAAATAGTGGACTGGCAATTCTCTTAATTGTTTTTACGCATAAAAATTTTCAACCTTACAACATTTTAAAAATATTGGATCGATATGAATATAGAAGGAAAATAAAAAGCAGAATAAATGTGAACCACTTCTACTTTCTCCGTACAACTTTTGCTCCGGTTTAATGTAAAACTAAAATGTTACACCCACCCATGTTATAATTATTAAAATATTAACATTTCTCATTCGTCTCTGATCTACGTGCAAGGTCAAATAAAAACCTTCAATTAGGGGAGGAATGAAATGAGTTACTTATAATCCAAAGGACGAAACTGACTTCTGGGTTTCAGGGCCTTGAACAGTTCAGAAACAATTGAGTTTTGTACCGAAAATTAATGCGTTGACGAGAAAAAATGGTAGTCTTTCCTTTCCATATTATTTGGCTTTTTGTGAGTATTATATATTTAAGAATTTCTATTATTTAGAAAGTGAATTAATATTTTAGCCTAGACCATGAAAGAAAAGTGAATATTTTGAAACGAAAAACATATTATTCAGGTAGAATAACAATATATACATGAACATTAAATTAAAGAAGGAAGAACTTTATCCGAAGGAAAAACTTTATTTCGAGTGATTTGGAAAAACAGAAAAGACGTATTCCTTTACATTAGAATTTAAAAGTGAGGAGAAATTGAACGATGTGGTCTGTTTATTTTTTCTTGGGACGATGTGGTCTGTTTATTCAAGGGATTATTACAAAAATAGTCACTTAAATTCACACTTTGTTTTTTTAGTCGATATATAAATTATGTACTAATTATATATTATATGTCTATAAATTATTTTTAGTTTAAAACATATATATAAGTCTTTAATTATTATTTTTTCAAGTTATGTTGAAACAACGCGTCTCTGAAACAGTGGCGATGTGAGCACATTTTTTTTCAAACGTAAAAGTGAAAAATAAAAGGAGAAAATATATTTACTATGATATGATTAGAGTCGCAGCCAAATTTGATAAACTTAAAAAATATTGACCGTGGACTTGGATCCTTGACATTTTCTTGACTTGGTTGCTTCCTCCTTCCATCCCTCTAATCCCTAACTACTGTACTCACCACTCATCAGTATCAAAAATCACTCATATAAATACAATTACTAAAAAGCTCATTCCACACTTGTGCAGCCTCAACACGTTTTGTTTCTGATTTCTCTTTCTCTTTCTCTTCTTTTTCTTGGACTTCTCTTCCACCCCCTTTGAATATTCCCTTCGCTTAATTGCTCGTCTATTTATATAAAGAATAATCTAAGAAAGTAGTCTTGATCTGCAACTTTCTCCGACACCCCAAAAGCAGAATCGAAGTGATCTCAGCTAAAAAGAAAAATGAAGGTTAGCATTTCTCTCTCTGATTTCTGCATATACTTTCTGTTTCTTTTTTCATCAATTAGCTAAAGTTACCTTTTCAAGAATTCTTATTCTCAAGAAATATTAAAATTTAGTATCAAAACTCTGTTTGCGCAATTTATACAAAGTATATACTACCTGCTTACTATTGGCTTGTTGATTTCTACGACCGGGCGATTCTCAGTGGATACTGAAATTATCTGTAGAAATATGTTTTTGATAAGTTGATTGAGTTTTATTGGATCTTTAATCTCTAAACTTTTGATTCTTCTTCTTTTACAGAAAGTAGTACTGAAGTTGGAGTATTTCGATGAGAAAGTCAAGCAAAAGGCCATGAAAAAAGTCTCTGGTCTTGAAGGTAAAATTACACGCTACGTATTTAATACTATTTCCTACAGAAATCCTGAATTTTCTAGAAGGCCAGATCCTAAAATTGTAAAGTTTCTCAAATTTGTTTTGTTTGTTCTCTGAATTTTTATTGCAGGGGTTGAATCAATTGCAATAGACACAAAGGATAAGAAGTTAACAATAACAGGAAACGTAGATCCAGTTTCACTAGTTTCCAAATTGAGGAAGCTGTGTCACACTGATATACTATCAGTTGGACCAGCAAAAGAGCCAGAGAAGAAAAAGGATGAGGGGGGCAAAAAAGATGAGGGAGGCAAGAAAGAAGAAGGCAAAAAAGACGACGGAAAAAAAGGAGGAGATGACAAAAAGGGAGGAGACGACAAGAAGAAAGATGGGAAAGATGATTCTCATCCTGTAATGAAGGCTTTCCCAGCTCCTATGTATTATCATAATTATCAGCAACCTTATCAACATTATCAGCCTCCTGTTCCTGCTTATTATCACCAGCGAAGTGTCGAAGAGGATCCTAATTCCTGTGTTATCTGCTGAGTTTTTAATGTTAAGTCGTTATATCTAATATTGGATTCAATTCATATCTATTATAGTACTATATATATATATATATTTCTGTGAGTTTTGAGAGGTTGTAGATTAATTCAGAAATCAAACCTTGATTGTACAGACCTTTGATAGTTTGTTATCACATTTTTGTTCTACTTCAATAATTTTCTTCGATTACTTTTAATTAAACGGACGGGCATTTGGATTTATTAGAACATCTTTAGTAATAAACCAGTGGATGTGGAGCTGGAAATTGATGCACATATTGGAATTTTTGGTTTGATATATCTGTAAATTTCAGCAAAAAGATTGTTATCAAAGTTAAGTTTTGGTATTCGAAATTCACTAGCCATACTAATTTAGGTTAGTCGGGGCCGGCGCGTTTAGTCCTTTTTAATTGTTAAAGAGACAATTTCATGCCAAAAAATCGAAATCTCTTATTAATAATACATCAAGCGTTATCATTCTATCTCACACTTTGGTGTTTCAAAGTTAAGTACATTTTAAGACACCGTAAAATTGAATCTTCTCTACTGTTTTGGTACAGTAAAACAGTACGGAAGAAACAATACAATTTGAATTGGCCACGGAATTCAGCTCCTATCTAGTCAATTAGTGTTTTCTAGAATTGTGTCCACAGGAGACTTTTCAGTGCTATTTGTTGATCTTAATGCCATATATGTTTTAAAAAGGAAAACATTGAAATTTAGTCGCCAACTCTGACAAATTATTGTTATGTGTAATTAGAATGGACTAGTTAATGTAACACCCAAAAAAATTAATCACCATAATTATTTTTGCGGTGTTCCAAAATTCAAATGGGGGAGTTTTTTTTACGGAAAAGGGTCATCAATGCCCCTAACCTATTGAAAATGGCTCAAAAATGCCCCCAGTTAACCTTTGGGACCAAAAATACCCTCAACATTTTTTTTTGGGATCAAATCTGCCCCTGAGATTTAACAGACTAGTCAGGATCAAATTTACCCTTTAAAAGATACCCGACCCGACCCGCTGACCCAGAATACACATAACCCATTTAACTAAAACCTAAAAACAAGATACTATTCATCAGCAAAACATAATCTCCTGATATCTTTGCATAAAAATTTGTTCTTTTGTGATAGAATGTCCAAAAATTTTGTTTCCTCTCAAAGCTCAACCAATTGAGTAGATGTAATTGCGGACAAGTTATGAGTCAATTTACGACCAAAACTCCTATTAATTTATGAAGTAATATTTTTGCCGAGAAAGTAATTATCTGCTATTGATTAAGAACTTATCTGCTATTGACATGGCCTGAAGCTTAGTTAGTGCCATTACCCAAGGAAACTGTTGAAATATAAAGAAACAACTGAATAATACTAAAATGCTGAAATATATATAAAAAAATTAAAAAATATTAAACTGCTGAAAATCACCATAGAAGAGTCATCGTCATGACATCAAGTTCACCACAAAAGCAAAGTCATTGCCGTAACTGATTCGACACAAATATATTTTTGTTAGAATCAGTAAAACCATTGGCGTAACTGATTCATCACAAAAACAACAAACGATAATCAGTTTACATGTCTATAAGTCTATTGATATTACATAACATCATCGCAACCAGCAAAATAATTTAACTTCTAATTGTCCTAAAGCATGGCCCTTTTAGCTTTCAGTTTTGTAATTCTTCTTTCCTTTTCTTCTACCAATTGGTTTGAGGGCTGCTTTTCCTTCCCAAGTGATCTTTTTTGGGGAATATGGCAGATTAGAGGGTAAATATACACCATTTTCATCTCCCATGAAATTGATCTTCCCGGTACCAGTAGGATTTTGCAGCAGTTGCCTTTGTTTAAGCCTAGTGTTAGCTTCAGAAATCACCTTGGGCATCAGAGTTGGATCATATTCACACCTAATCTCGTCAACATCATAAAATTGTGTGTTAGCTTCAGACTGAAAGGTCGAATCATATTCATGTTGACTTGAGTGACTAGAAGATTGATTAGAAGACATATTTAATCCAGGAACAGGAATGAATACAAATTCTGAATCTTGGGAATCTTGAGGTGCTTTCATATGAATAACTTCTAGTGATTGAGAAGTTTCTTCATAAGACAGATTGTGCTTTCCTTTGACCTACATAATTTGAAATTTAAGTTAGGTATTTGAAATGTGTTATTATTAATTTAGAATGGGAATATAAAATCATCTTACTATTGGACATCTTCTGATGTTATGTCTTGGTGCACTACAATAACCGCATGTCACGCGAAGCCCTTTTTTTGAAGCTGACCATATCCCCTCTCTTTTCCTAGCTTCGTCCTTTTCTCTTGTTCTTTTCACCCTTGGTCTACCAACCATTTTAGCTAAAGGCGGTGGCTCCATGGCATGATGTGGCTCTACTTTCTATAATTTTTCACCTCTAACAGGTTGCACCTTATGCTTATAAACCAGCATATAAGCCTCTTTAGAGTACCACCAATGTACCCCAGTCAGTAGATCAACCTTTTAATGAATCAGTGCTTTGATGGCATGAGGACATGGGATCTCATACAAATCCCATGTCCTACATGTACACTTCTTCAGCAATAAGTTGACTGTGTGCCTATCTACACCCTCTGTTACTTTATACCCATTATCTCCATTAAATATAACTTTGCACCCTTGTGCAATGTGCTTGTAGTCCTTAAACAACCTCATTGCAAGTGGACTGATATCTTCTTTCCAATTTCTAGCTTCATCTTCATGCTCCCTGATCATATTCATTACCTTTGCAAAACAATTACAAAATAGTCACATAATAACATTTAACTCAATTAATAAACCTGAAAATTAATGATAGATTTTCTATCACCTTGATCCTAATATCCTCTAGCATCTTTATGATAGATTTTGACCTGGCTTCCAGAATCCAAAAATTGAAGGATTCTGTGAAATTGTTATCCACCATATTATTCTTGCATTTTGTGTCAAAGTACGCTCTACACCAACTTTGAGGTGGATACCACAATAGGTCTTTGACAGCTTGTTCAGACGAAGAACCCAAATTCTTTAGTTGATCCTTAAAATCTTCATCATATGTGCTCCAAGCACACCACCACAACATCTTCCTCATCTCCCCACCCCTCTTGTTTTTTTTTGCCCAGTTAGCTTCAATGTGTCTTACACAAAATCTGTGATTTGCTTTAGGAACTATTACAGAAATAGCATCCAACAACCCCTGCAATAGTTAAAAAATGGAGTAGCGAAAAAGAAATTAAATTTATGAATAAGGACCTCATTTAAAGCAAATAAGGAAGACATAATAGTAAAAATATACCTTTTGCATATCTAAGATAAAGGTCACCCTTTCACCGTCCTTCAAGTCTAATAAAATCTTTAGCATCTCCACAAACCAACTCTATGTCCTATTGGTTTCTTTATCCACCACCGCCCAAGCAATTGGATAGAAATGATTCACAGAATCTTGTCCAACAGCCACCAATAGCTGCCCCTTGCTTTTTCCTTTTAAAAATGTGCCATCCAACCCTATAAAAGGTCTCAAACCATTTTTAAAGCCATATTTTATAGCTTGGAAGCACATATACATCCTAAGGAATCTTCTTTTACCTTCTGACAATGCTTCCTTGGATATATTTACCACCACATTAGAACCAACATTGCTCTCTCTCAATTCTTGTGTGTATGCCTCTAATCTATTGTAGTCATCCACGTAACTCCCCTCCAATTTCTCCAATACAATACTCTTAACTTTTTTCATTTTTGACTTGCTAACATTGAGCTTGAATTCTCCTTCCAAGTCTCCTTTCATATCTTTGATCTTATACTTAGGATTATTCTGAATTTTTCTCTTAAAGTAATGTGCTAAAGTTTTGGAATCACCTCAACGATTCTGATAAACTGGATCACAATCGTGATTTTGGTTCAAAGTCTTGATCTTAAAAGTTTGGCTTTGCCCATCCTTAGAAATAAAGCACCTAAAAGGACATCCAATATCACATTTATAGCTAAGTCTTTTTGTATCACTCTTTTTTAATTTAGACCTTTAGAATTAGCAACTGTATAAAACCCAATAATTCTTCTAGCTTCAGGTATATCTTTAAAGGTCATGCCTTTTTCCAACTCTTTGTACATGTCTAATTTTTTATTGACTTCTTTAGTCCTTTCCTTTCTAAACATCTCCAACTCCTCACTGTAATAATCACTAGATACAAGTTCATCACCTTCCTCTTCCTCAGAACTATCACAATCAATTCCAGCAGCTATAGAGCCAATGTAAGTTTCACTATGATGAATTATACTAAGATCCAAGTCCACATTTTCTTGCATTCTTCAGAAGCCAGCACATGCAAGCCAAAAAAGAAAGTAAATATGTACCACAAATTAAAAAAATTAGAATCTAACGACATTTAACAAACAATACGACCACAAACGAATAAATAACCCCCAACCCTAGTTTAATAACCCTTTAAAAGCTTCAACCAACATAAATAAAGTAAAAAAAAATGCATTAGAAGGACAAGTTGTAGATACCCAAAAATTTCAAACCCAAAAAAATTCATACAAAACAGTAAAAAAAACTCACCTTTGACTTTGGATATGAATCTTCAAGAGAATATATCCTTGAAATTACTATGTAGATTTGCTCCAACAATCGACTTCACACACAAGAATGGAGTCTAAGACATGAAAGAAGAGAGGAATATTTTGCTGAAGAATAGTCTCTTGTTTTTAGGTTTTAGTTAAATAAGTTATGTATATTCTGGGTTAGCGGGTCGGGTCGGGTATCTTTTAAAGGGTAAATTTGACCCTGACTGATTTGTTAAATCTCAGGGGCAGATTTGAGCCCAAAAAAAAACGTTGTGGATATTTTTGGTCTCAAAGATTAACTGGGGGTATTTTTGAGCCATTTTCAATAGGTTAGGGGCATTGACCCTTTTCCGTTTTCTTTATGTCCTAGGGAGTAGGGTCCAGGATCAATGCGACACAATTTATGTAACGCTAAAGGCAAAATTTAGCCTGGACTACTACTTTGAGAACTCACCTAGTACTTTGACAGAGTTTTCAAATAACAGTAAAACGTCATTTTAGATAAAAACCATACAATTATTTGAGAATAAAACGTCAGCTCTAGAGGAAAACTGTGGGATTATTGACCTCAGAATTTGTGATAAAAATAATTAGGAGTGACATAGACGGCTATTTTGTGAAGCATTTAAAGATTATCTATTAAATAGATTTCTGGAACATTCCCTATAGGCGGCATTTGAAGAAATGTTCCGTAGGCAACTGTTGCAACAACAATATGTAACTTTTGCCTGCCACAAAAAGCCAATTTATGTAAATAAAATATAAGAAAAACATGTCTCAATCAATTCTGAGAAAATCCTGTTGTAACAAGTTGTTTTGGGAGATTGAAGAACAAAGTTAAATAATATGAGGGTCACTGTATAATTCAAGGTCAGCAGAGCTAATCCGAAACCATTACAAATTCAATCGATAATGACAAACGTCGTATTATTATTTTAAGAAAAAATGAATAAAATTCGAAGTCCTCCTCTCAAAATTTGTTCACTTTCTTTTTGGTTAGGTGTGCCAAATTTTGATGCCTTATGCTAACACTCTCTTTGATATTATCGGTTAAAGCTTAGTGACAAAACCAACAGTTCTTGCTTGACAGTTTTGTGTGATGCACAAGGTAAGCAACAGTAAACTTTAATACCATTAAGATTATAATAATACATGGAATACTAATTAATGAGCTATTTTATTGGGTATTATCACTTTTAGCCCGCACAATAAATTATTTATATTCGTTAGCCGAAAAAGTATATATAAAATGTGTATAATTTTTGTATATAACATACATAATGTATATATATACAAAAAAAAAAAAAATTCGACAACTATTTTAAGGGTGCCTATACAATGTCATTTTTTCTATTTTTTTAATTTGTTATTGGGCTTTCGTATTGTAATAAATATGGATATGCGCCATATATCATTTTAAAATGTAATTTATTTTAAATTGCATAAAGATTTATTTCTAATAATACCCTTAGCTTTTATTAGATCACGTCATCCAATCTATTTATTTATTTATTTATTTTTCCTATTACATGTTATTAAAAGCAAAAAGAATACAAAAATAATAGCAAAAACTGCGCTCCCAAGCAATTGAAATTACTCTAATTAATAGTTAGAGAAATACAATCAAAGAAATAATATATAGCAGAAGTTAATAGAAAATGTATTTAATGTATGTGATTTTGCTTCCAACTTCTTAATCTAATTTCTTCTTTCATGGTTCTTTTTTATAAATAATTTTTCTATTAGGTGGAGGATTAAAGGAAGAAAATGAAAGACAGACATAATAAAAATTAAATCCATGCGTATTGTGTGGAAGACTTTTTCCTTAATATTAAACGTTAAACCTTGATTTTTTTACGTTAATTATTTGATGGTGGATAGTGAAAAAATTTCCTGTCAGGACCGAAACGGACGTAATTATCGACAAATGACAAAATCTAATATATAATGCTCTATACATCTGACTTTCTCCTTCCTGACTATTGTGTTTGATAGCTTAACTTTAATAAAAATATATTTGAATTAAAAAAAGAAAGTTGAATATAATCAAGAAGATCAGACCCTTAAGGAATAGACCGTTTCTATTATATCTGTAGGTTAATGTAAGAAGTACCTCTTTCGGAATCCTAAAAGCTTTCCAATTACGGTTGTCAATTAATCCGTTTTAACTTCCTGTTAGTAGTTCTTTTTTCCATATGTGACTCCATCTAGTTTTAGTGTGCAATTAAGTTAATTATAGATTATAAAACATGCCAAGAGGAGAAACTAATGAAGAATTAACCATATGATAATCTGTCCCTAAATTTTTGTCACCACTTATCCTGTTATCCATCAATAAGCAGGAAAGAAAATCCTGGGATAGTATTAACAAATATTCAATGAGTAGTAGTAGTTTACATATTTTTCTCTCTTAATTGCTCCACCTATTTTCTTCATCATCAACACCATCTTCAGCCCACATATCAACCCAATTCTTCTGAGCTTGTTCCAACCCAAGAAATGACCCCTCTTTTTCAGCATCCCAACTAGCAGACAATGTCCCATAAGCAATTCCAAGTGTTGAAGCTCCAAATGTGATTAACGTTGTCAAGAATGGTAACCAAACTGGCACATCCCACAATTGTTGTTGCTTTACTATATCCAAAACCTGCAGCAGAGCGACACCGCCTACCATTGGAGCTCCCACGTAAAACAGCATCCTTCCTATAATTCTTTCCCACACTGTCGACGGAATTTTTTCGTCGTTATCGTCATTGTTGTTATTATTATTCCTTCTGTTATTTCTTTGGGAGGTGTCGAGTTTTCCGTTTTGCTTTTGTGTTTCAGCTGGTACATTGCCGAAGCCTTTTGCTTCGGCGTGTAATTTCCATGTATTTCTGTGGAGGTTTGGAGTACTGTATATGTTTTTATGGAAAAGGATTGGGATTTTTTGATTCGATGGAAATGAGTTTGTAATTGAGAGAGATGAGTTTTGAAGACCTGTGAGAGTTTCCATAGCTATTTTAATTTGGTCATATTTCTCATGGAGTCGTGTTCTTTGTAAATGCAACGAGTAGTAGTAGTCTTATCCGAATAGATGAATGGTTGTGCCTCAATCTTTACTTTTTGTTATCATTCTTGCTTATTATTGATGGATATTTTGAAGATATTTGTCTTATCTTTCCTTTTTTCCATATAAATGACATCTAACTATCTTAAATTATAAACAGAGTTGCAAAATTTTGATATCATTCACACATCATAATATTTTTTAGGCATTGAAAACAAATAGCCGACCAGATTTAATGTTTACTTTTTCTATCCGGTATACATAGATTATACATTAATTACACAATTATATATACATTATACATGGATTATATACATCAGTCGGTTACTTTTAATTTAAGAGATTAAGTAAGAGGCTATTTGGGTTAATTCAACTATTTTTTATCCAACTTAATTAATGATGTTGTAAGCTAATTTATCTGGTTCATTAAGTATGGACATGGTAGACAGATATAGCCATTGACAAATGTAGCAACTTAATGGGCCTAGTTCTCATAGCTAGTGGGCTTCTGAGCCCAATCACGTGCTCAACTATTTCATAGGAGCTAATAAAGTCATTGCTAAAATTACCTGGCATTAAAATTGTAGTTATGAAAGAAAGAAGACATTTGGGATTGCGATGTGTCCAAAGTCCTATTTATTGGAGCCAAAGTGTGAAGGATACTGTATTCTTCAATGAAGACTGAAGTTGTTACTTTGTCTAGAGAAATGAGAGCCACATTAAAGATGGACAAACGACACTTGCATGCTTTCGAGTTAGAATTAACAAAGCTAAATATCTATAGTGTTTCTATACCATTTGTTGCTTATCTTTCTGTAAATCTCACCGTACATGAGAGTTCTACTCTGACTACTAACACGATGCATAGTTCCAATGTTACAGAATTGTTTTTTGTGAACTCACAAAGTTTAAAGAATTGGGGTTGTCCAATTTTAACTTAGGATTTGAGGAGGTAAGGCTTTTAATTTATTCATCTCCTTCTCGTATTTCACTTATGGATCTAAATTTACGGGAAAGTGTCAAGGTGTGAATGTCTAAACCCAACCACAAGGGTGGTATTAACTTAAAAAAGAAAAAGGAGTCCTATTAAATAGCCAACAAAGGAATAATCGATCTACTTAACAATTAACATCAATACGAGTTCAATGTTAATGAATGCATATTGACAATTTTATGGGGAGGCATGGACTTCATCGATCTATACCAACACTCCGCGTCCACTATAATGACAAGAATGTCCTCAATAATGTTTAAGGGTAAAACAAATGGGTTAATGTTAATGCATAAGTTTCTCCTAAACTAGTCTTTGATTTTCAGTTACAAATTAAATCTCGTGTATTGTCTTACAGTAATTGCATCAATGAGAATAATAATTAACTCCAAAATTATTATTCTCATTTGAATCACTCAACTAATCCATTGGTGGAACGTAAAATTTAGATTTTCTTAAATCTTCATCACCTCTTTTGGCAGTTTGTTAAGAAATACTCTATTATAATTGGGAAAGGACAGAGGCGCCAATTTTTAATTACTTAAATCAATGACGAATGATTTGATTACAAAGGCCCCGTGGACGTTACTTAATTAAGGTGGATGTGTTATTGGGCCCTCCAGTTTCTGATTTTGATTAAATTACTGGCATAATCTTGGCAGACGTCTACAATCTATTTGTCACCAACTTCTTGATTTTGTGGATGGAAAGGCGACAAGTAGTTTATATGGAAATACTATGGTGGACAACTTAACACTTCTTATTAATCAGGAAAAAGTAAAACTAGTGGTTGATAATATAACAGAAAATCACTACGTATACAAGAGTGCATGAGCAAAATTTTGCGACTACAGTCTACAGGAATCAACACCCAAAACCTATTCCAGTTCATGCAGTGCAAAATAACAATTTCTACTTTTTCACTTTCCAAAACCCTAGCTACTCTTATGTTACCACTTAAAAGAAGGCCATGATGTGGGGTTCTTGAAAACAAGATTAAAAGTTACTAATATAAAATACTCCACTTACTATCTAAATGGTCTAATTATATTAATTTGTAAGTAAAAATTTATTTATTTCACTTGAAATACTTCTCAAATAAAATTTTCAATATTTCACTGATATTACAAATGTTGAGTTTATCAGTATTTCTGATGGCCAGCCAAAAGATAAATTCATCTCAACTTGTTGGCTGAGAAACTTAGACCCTCAAACTTCAGCAAGTACTAACTACCGTGCTTTTCCAACTTCTCATAAGACTTGGTAGAAACCTGCAACAGATTTTAGATACTGTAAATAAATCTAATTAAGGTACTGCTAAATCTTCTAAATGATCATGGGAAATAGCATTCACTGTTCAGCAGTTTGTTCTGAATGCTTCACAATAGTTGAAGGAATTAAAGGTTCTTGTTTCTGTACCCCGTACGTAGGTATAGAAAAAAAAGAAAAAAAGACCGACCAAAATATAGAAATTATTCATTCTTTTAAAGTCAACACCAGCATTTTGATCATTTTTATATATTGCAGATTTTGGTTCATTACCTTATTAGATGATGGAGAGGTGCGCGCAAATCTGCTTGGAGAATTCGTGTTTATTAAATGCCCAGGGGAAACAGATACTACAGTTGGTGACTGCATATATGGGGAAACTGGTGAGCGCAACATTGGACTTTGATTATGAGATATTGGTGTCTGATTAACAGTTGAAACTGGAGATGCTATTGGACTTTGCCACTTCAGTTTAGAAACCTCCGACGCCATTGCTCCTGGAGATCTTCTAGGTGAAAATATCATTGAGGGAGGAATATTGATTCTAATTCTGGACACAAGAAAATCAGTGTCTTAGGATCTGAGCTATATATTATCATGGCACTAATTAAGATATTGTAAAATGATTAAATTTGTAGAGTTCCTAATTTACATACTTGTTGTGAACATCAACATAATCATCAGTCTCATCGTATATCGGTTCCTACTAGGAAAAAGTAAAAGAGTTAAAGCAGACCAATTAGCTAGGAATCATCAGTTTCGGAAAACAAACAGAAAACATAACCAACATGACTATTAATTTTACCTGCAGAAGTTGTTCAAGAACATCTTCCATTGTAATGATACCAATTGCTTCTCCTCCTATAATCGAAGATCATTCCAATTTATGAAAGATATACAATTCTCTGATTTTCCAAAAATTATATTGTACTGACTATTCTTACCCTTTTCAACTGAAGGATCTTGAATAATTGGACGCGGAAGGATGTTTATCTTGATTATATCGTGTTGAGCAGTGGCATTTTCCTCAGCTTCCTTAGTATTCCTACTGCTCTTTACCACTACAGCCATATGGCTGTTCCCTTTCTGGAACTGGTTCAGAAGATCATATAATGGTAAAGAATCTGGGATCCTGAGGGAAATTAAATATACGCAAAATTAATTTATTCTTAAAAACATGTTTAAAATTGTCATAAAGATTAAGTCAACTTTCCCTTTCACTCTGGATTTACTTTTATTTAAATATCACAGCATTTCAACTAGTATTTTCTTAATAGTCATTTCCAGGCAAAATCAACACCTAAAATTGGAATGAACGGAGTACTTTCTTGAAAGAAATGCACCAAATTAATGTAAGAAGTTACAATTTCGTACTCTGGCATACTCCTTATACTGAGATCTTTGATTGGCACCTCATCTTCAGGACGATATTTTATCAAATTCTTCACCTAGAGAAGGTACAAAGAGTAAAGATATGAAGAAAAGTTAAATATGTCGTACAAAAGAATAGCAAAAATGTTGCAGAATGATACTAGTATATTTGTTTTATCATCCCTGAAATATTAGTAAAGTTTTTGAAAAGACTTACCAAGATTAGGCCAACAATGTTCGTTGGACTGCCAGAGTATACAGGTACGCGACTGTGGCCTTTACTTATAATCAGATTCATCATCTCACTGCGAATATAATCATCAAAATTTGGGTTACTATTAACAAAGAGTGCTAATAATTGTTTGAAGGAGAAATTTGACAGAGACTAATTAGTAGCATACTCGGTAAGTTTAGAATGAAGATCAAGAGAAAATACTCTGGACACGGGGGTCATTGCATCTTTAACCATTTTCTGAGCTAGGTCCAATGCTCCAGCAATTATGGTAGTTTCGTCGTGGCTCAACTCTCCGCCTTTCCCTGCCTATTATCACCATAGGCAAATTCAGGATCTAAAGTTAATGACCGCCTCAAAAAGAATGTGATTTTATTATATGTTTTTGGCATATGTTTACTTAATTATTAGGCTGAATAAAGCAAAGATAAAGTACAAAGCACTAACCTCATTACCATGCATATTCACTAAGGTTTTCAGCTCAGCACGGCGTAGAAGTGCTGAGTGCCCTTTACCCAGGAGTCGATCCAACAACTGATGAAACCGAGTGAACAGAAATAATTAATTAGGTGACTAAAACTATGCATGCCCTTTACATTTTTATATTAATATGGGGATTAGGGCTTCATTTCTCTAGGATTATATATAAAGAAGATAAGACTCTACCTTACTGATGGGATAAGATAAAGGGAAGACAATTATGACAAGCAAACGAACCAAAGGTGACAATCTTGCACCAATGCTCAGTCCATAGCGAGAACAGATTGCCTGAGGAATAATCTGTAACAGGGAGAAAATTGAAATCGAATAAGTCCGTTTAATTAAGAAACAAACTCTGATCTGTCCTACTAGTAATTAAAAAATGAAGTCAAGAGAAACAACCTCTCCAAAGGCTAATATGAGAGTGACCGATATCAGTATAGCACCCCATGCAGGAAGTAGAGCGTCTAGAAATATTGGAAGAGCCTGCAATTTGATGAAAACATTAAGCATATATATATCAGCTCAAAATATGGCACTAAATGAAGGACAACAGTACAATATCACTAGAAACCAGTGGCGGATTGGATCCACAATTTAAACGTTGTGAGTTCTACACATATATATGATAGGATCAATCCTAAAACACTAGATTCAACTAAGTCCATGAACACATTCTTGATTCTTG